CCTGCTGTTAAATGTAAACTCCCCCAAGAACCCTTGCAAATGTTCACTGGAAAACAATATAATAATTAATGAGCATTAATCAGGTAAATAATGACACAAAATTGTCTGTTTCACAAAGTGGCTATGTTTACATTAAAAGTAAAATAACTTGTTTCTCAATTGCAACTCACACACCGAATCCTTATCTGGTCCAAATTTCAGGAACCTGTACATTAGCAGCCTCCCTAATAAACATTTTGGATCAGAATCTTTGTCCTCAGGGATGTCACTTTGTTTTACCAGAATTGTGCAGTGTGATGTTAAAGTTACTCTGTAGGAATAGTGTTTTCTATCTATTTTAAAAATGTATCTTCATAAGTTGTCTGATGGACTGTTGATAGATGTGAATGTGTTCTATTGTCCTTTCAGTAAATGTCTGCTTATTTTTAAAGCTAGATCCTCAACTAATTTAAATCAGCATAGCTCTACTGACTTCAGTGCAGCTACTTCACTTCGTGTTATCCGAAGATTGGGCCTGTTGTTTCCATTAATTGCTCAGAATAAACGCATAGGAGCTATTATCAAATTATTTCTACCTAGTTGGTGGTGTTACAGATATCTGTATTTTTTCACTTTGCTGCATTTCCAGTTAACCAGATTTAATTCTATGTAACAATTTTCATTTTGTATTTTGCAGGATTTTAGGAAAACAGCTCCTTTTTCCTAATGATGAAAGCTTTCAGCATTTTCGGAGCAGAATTACTAGCTCTGTGTATACCAGATCTTTACCAGGCCTCTGTGAAAGCACTAGTAACACGAAAGAGTATGTTCAACAGTTTTGTATGTGCTTTGTTTTAAGCATTTACAGTGACATTACATTTATGTATATTCTTAATATTTACAGCAACTAAAATGTAACAACATTAATATAATAAATCTTTAATTACAAATAAACAAATATTACTGCTTATAGATGAGCAAATAAGTGAAAGTTTGTGTATCAAACAATTCTCTTGATTGTGCAGCAATTGTGTACTAGGCTTTTAAGACCTTACCAGGATATCATTTCACATGCTGTCTTTTTGTAGTGGAAATAAATTGTACTTATTCAAAAGCACTTCTCTTTGATCTGTCATATCTTTTCATAATTTTATAGATCTATTATTTTAACAGCCTTAAAACAATTCAGCAGCTGCCTATTTACACTTTTTTCATGTATATTTAATTGTAATTCTTTTGTTTCAGGCTGTGCATTTCGGGATCTAAACTGGTTCCAATCGTATCACCAGTACACAGATCATTAGACTATAGTTCCCCAAGGATTTCTGTTTCTGACTCATCTGAGTATTCATTCCTGGAAGAGGAAATCTTTGAGGTGGATGGAAAAATTGAAGAATATTTTGCTTTTGACAACAAGGAACTGTAAATAAATTATATATTGCTTCTCTCTAAACGTTCTTCCAATTGATTTAAAAAATTGCTTAGTCCTCACTCTCAGCTGTGGTTCAGGAATACACAATGTAGCTCCAGAAGGGGGATGCAAAAGAGATTTTAAGCTCCCTTTCTGCCCTCCCATGCTATTTTATGTGTTCCCCGGCATACGTTAAGGCAGCCTGAATAGGATCATGA